GTACAGTCAGACTTTTTGGCTTGGAGAGACAAAGGAGAGTCCTTTTCTGAGCGTGCTATGGCCAAGCATATATATATATAACTAACTGACTGACTGACTTACTGACTGACTGACTGACTAACTGACTAACTAACTAACTAACTAACTAACTATAATGGATAGACACCGTCTCCAACACCTGTGTCAAGAGGAATCACTTCTATCTCATCCAAAATCATGCAAAAACACAAAGACACGCACATACATATATATATATATATTTATACGGTGCACGCTATGTATGTATACATAGTGAAAGCCAGTGCCTTTGCGGTGCAATCAGTGGTTTATTTCATAAACATTTGTCTCGTACGAGGCCCACCTTTGACTTCGCCTACTGGGCTGAGCATGTGGAAGAGGCGCGACGGTTCCATGGAGCGATGTAAGGGTGGGAGGATTCAAGCTCGAATTCTTTCGAGCTGGTGAAGTGTTTGTTTTCATCTGCTTCCCGCAGATGTTTGGATTTAGCTTATTCACACCGCTTCGCGGTCGAAGCCGCCCGCACGGATCAAAGGGAAAATACAGAGATGTCACCTACCAGGCATACAGACAGACATACATGCAGACATTAACAACCAGTGCCGGGAAGAAATGTTCACATTCTGTATCAAACTTTTGCACGTGATGTACAATATCGATGACCGGAAAAATCGAGCATCCAGCTTCGCCGACACATATCCGGTGTAAGTCCTTGACATGCCAGCGCGTGGGGAACTCTTAGGACTCTTGGAAGGGTGTTTCTGTATATATAAAGGTTCCCAATAAGATGCGTTCGCTGTAAGACGTGCGCGCGCCGAGGCACGATGTCAATAATGCAGTTGTCCGCCAAGTGCAACAGGATGGCGGCGCTGAGTGCCCCAGTGACTGGTTCCCATACCAAGTACGCCTGCGAGAACAGGACCTTAGTCAATCATGCAGGGTTGAGCTTATGATACCTCAAAACCAAAGTCGCCGGTCCCAAGTAAGATGCGTGCGCTGTAAGCCGTGTTGATTCTGCGATCTCCCATGAGTCCGCGATGTCGACAACGTGCTCTCCCCCGGCCGGCGTAGCCGGCATCGTCAACGTTTGGTCCAGGTTTTTGTCAATCTTCCCCCAAAAAAAACAATGTAACACACAGCATTTCCCGAGCAAAAGAGGCGCCTCCCCCCCCCGAAGCTAAAGCTTAAAATTGAATCTAGCCGATTTCTTGCGATTGCCCCAGAGCCTACACAACGCCCTCGGCACCGTTGGTCCGGGCGGAGTTATATACATCCTTCGGTCCGGGCGAGCACTTTTTGGAAGGTGCATCTCTTTAGTCTCTTTATGCCATCCTCCCTGGCTCAACCCGGGCCAAAGCCTTCAAAGACCCTCAGGTTTTCTTCGCGTATGTCGCGCAAAGGAAAACGGTGACAAGCTGTGCCGTCTTTGGTGACTTTCTCACCAGGAGAAAATCTATCATAGCCCATCCCAGAATCCCTGACCATGGGAGGGTTCCTATGGTGCAGAACTTGGCTTACCAACACAGAACCGTCAGGGGCTAAAAAAGGGTCATGTGACAGTTGATCGTGGCCATCCGCGGAACCCACAGAGCTCAAGACTTTCCAGAATGGCAGTCCAGAAATGGCCTGCAGTCCACAGAATAGTCAGTTATTCCATGAACTTCTTTTCAGTTCAAGTTTTTCTTTAGTAGACCTACAGCGCTTGCATGTGGCAGTGGCTGGAGCTTGGCAGCAGCTGAATAGGGCACCGGTGGTTAACCTCAGTTGAGGGTTTTCAGCTTTCCTTTTGCACTCAAAAACCCTGCCTCGCCGGACAGGTCCAAAAGAACGCTGACAACAGACAGTTCAACTGCGATGTGGTGGGCAGCTGAGATGGATGGTTTGGTCATGCAACATCGGCAGACGGCACACTCGACTCGCCCCCACTTTGTGATTTTGTAGATCTTGAGCTAGCCTCCAGGGAAGAAGAGAGGAAAGAAAGAAAGATAGATAGATAGATAGGGCCTTTACTTATGTCGGCAGCTCCGACATGTTGCCATGGGACGCGGTGGGTCAGAGCCTTGCACTTTTCACCTCCAAACGATGAAGCGCGCGGTTTGCGCAGAAATGGTTTCTATTTTTGTGGCGGTCTTCTGCCCTCTGTGTATGGGGGATGTCACTAGAACCAAGGCTTCCCCTGGGTGTTCCATGATGTGGGGCCTGTAACAATCCCCATGTCATCATTGACGCTCATGTAGATTTTCAGCGCCCTTTTCCGGGCCTTGCAGCGGCCGGGCCTATCCACTGTAATGTATCGTGCCTGGCCTATTGCAATGCCCATGGGCATGCAGCTGATGATGCTGATGCGTTTCGTACTCTTTTGCGGCCGGAGCCACCAATCCAGGGGCGCTTGACTTGGACAACCAGTGGCCGTCGGCAACTGGAATCCAGCTTTCCCATGGTTGCACTCATGTAGACAACGTGCTTGTTCGATGCTGTTGAATCGCCGTGCACGTGAGTCTCACCCAGCCGGCGGGATCGCGCTCCTCAGGGCGGCGAGGGCAGCTCCTGGTGGCGAACGGTTCGGCAGGTACCTTGTGGCGTGAAGATCGTGAAGCTTGAGGAGTTGCTCCAGCATTCTCCACTGTTCAGAAGGAATGAGGGGTTTTGGTGCTCACTGCACCCTGCAAGCATTGGAGAAAGACATGTGCCATTATGAGCTTGTGCTCGAGATGGTCGACACATGGCAACACAAAGGTTTCATAGTGCAGCCATGCATGTTTTCTGCTGAGTGACGGTCCAAATTGCCTGGAGTTGTTCTACAGTGACATCAATCAGTGGCCGGGCGCTTTGCCATGTCCTCAACTTCAACCATTTGTACAAGAAGGCTATACCGTTTGCTCCCCCAAAAGATCAATTCAAATCAATACCACATGCGGTAAGGTGCATGACCTAGTGATCTTATGTGATCTTAGGAGCCTTCCCTCAATTATTTCAGCGAGGAAGCAAGATGAACTGCTGGTGTAAAAAGACAAACGAATCGAACAACCTCGATACTTCGATTGGGCGAGGGGGCTAGGGATCTACCCACACATGGGTATCAACCCGGAGGACAGAAACAAGATCTCTTTTTGCGTTGCCTGAGGCAGAAGTTGTCGCGGTCTACCAGGCCAAGAATTCCTTCCTTGGCTGCCAGTGTTTCGATCGACGGATTCTGACCCGACACGACTGTGAGATGCGTAAAACACCAACCATGCAGTTCGGACGGCTTCGAATTTTCCGTTGGCGATATACTGCTGCCCATCAGTGGGTGATGATCTTCAGAAAAGAAGAGAGACTCATCCCAAGAAGCTCACCCCAATAGGCCCTAATCCGTCCTGTCGCAGCACGTGCCCATAACCTTGGTCATGTGTTTGTTGCCATCCCAGATGGTTTTTGATGGTTTTCGATAAAGCCCCGACCATCCACCACAATCATGCACTGTTTAGTGGAATTGAGACAGGCGCGGTATGGGTGTGGGTCAAGTCGGATGATGCTCGGACCATGCTGCACAGAACCATTTTTGACCATGGCATGTATTATTGTCATTTCGGATCATGTCTTCCCAACGAGCACCAAAGCTCCCTGCATTCCAGGAGCACCGAAGCTCCGCTTTTGAGCTGCAGCCAGGTTGCCCCAGTTGGGCACGTTGGGAGTGCCCGTTTGACACAAGATTGTATGACACCCGTAACTGCTCGGAGCAGAGAGAACAGGTTTTATTTCTTGCACATGTTTCTAGCATTTTCCTTGAGATATCTTTTGATGAATCGGCATCTTGCTATCTAGAGGGCCATGTGCTTGGAAGGATCTTGCATTTAGTCTTGTAAGTTCTGCTCATCGGTGGTTTGCTTGCGTTTCATTCCTTTTGCGACTGCTGCGGCTCACCCCCTCGCATGTGGGGGTTTCACTCCGCATCTGAGCCATCCGCTCCACCAGTGGAGTTGACACCTGTCAGCCAATCGACCACGGGCGTGAAGTTGAGCTCGAAACTGAGGCAGCTGGCCAAAAAGCGGAACGAACATGCAAAGCCGCTGGCCGAAAAGTGGGCCTCGGTGGAGTCCACCAATCTGGGGATGCGTCCGGGCATGGGGGGTGCGAAGAAAGGCAGCGCGGTCTAGGGGTGTGGACGAGGTGTGAACCGAGATGATGTTCACCAAAAAGATATTTTTTTCAGAAAAGGGACGTTCATGATGACGTTCATTCATCATGGCTGAAGAGCTTGTGATCATGGTCGCTTGGCAGCGTTTTGATGGATTCGAAGCTTTCATTCGTCTGAGTCTTATGCCACCGTGGAAGTTTACCTGCTGGTGAGGAATTTTTGATCTTCGTGGGCCCAGGTCGATGAAAGGCAAGATGGAACCTGACGCAAGGCAAGCCTTGATCGAAGAAGGAAAGAAAATCAAGGAGGACTGCAGAGCTTGCCAACTTGACCCAACTCTTGGAGAGTGGCCCATTCCATGTGCATCGATATCGATGTGTTGCAAGAATTGGATTTGTCGCCGCTCTATTGGTTTAGGCTTTCAGCTAGCAGCACTGAGCAAACTGATACGTCGCCGCCACAAGCCAACCGCCCTCCCATGAGCCTAGTCAAGCTCTCATCCAACAAAAATGGAAATGGAACATGCCCCCTCACGGTACTTACGTATTACAGGACAACGAGGCTGTCCGGAGTCCACCTCCGAATATTTGTTCGAAGAGAGGGCAAACACAGGTGAAGGCAAGCCCAAAACACCAGCTCAGCCGAATCCGCAAACAACTTTGAGAGCCTAGATGTTTGGATCATGTAGTCAATGTGATGATCTAGCCGGTGCAGTGGTTCCGGCCTTCTCGTGTTGCATTTTCCTTCCCCCAAACCTGGGGCCAAAAATGGCCCAAACAATGGCCTTCAGGAGATTAGCTCCATGGAAGCAAAGGTGGATGCGCTGAGCACCAAGATGAATTCTCTCGCGCTCGCGGCAGGGACGCCCAGGAAGGTCACATCCCAGACTCAACGAATGCCCCAACCCACGAGGAGGTTGGGGAAGAAAAAAGCCGCTGAGGCTTTTTGGAAATCAAAGCGCTCAGAGGATCAGCAAATGCCTGTTATGCCTGCATGTCTCAATGCCTGCACAGGGATCTCAAAAGATAGTACAAGTGGTATGAAAGGTCTGGCTCCCCTGCATGCCTCATGTGCAATCCAGCGTCAATCCGGTGACGAGTACCAGCAGCTGCGACAGCACTCCATCTCGCCTCGGGACTAGCATGCAAGTGGAAACCAACGATCCGTTTTCCACTTCCATGTGTGGTGAGTCAGGGGGTCACATGCCAATGGCAAAAGGCAACCATTATCAGACTCTTCATTGCAATGGAACTTCCTTTTCAAGGCATCGAAGCTGCCAGCCCCGAGAGATTGAGTCCTAGACCTCGTTGGGCCACTTTTTTTGCTTTTGAGGTGCCCAATTTGACGCACCCGGCCCGGGAGCATGGGGCGACATGGGGCGAAGGTGAATGTCCGTTGAAGGAAAACGGGTCTGAAAAAGGACAGACTCTCGAAAGGAGCAGAAAAGAGACAACGACTCTTACTGTATATATCTGTATATTCTCTTTTGTTGGGAAATTCTAATATTTTGTAAAGCAGGGTTGAATCCTTTGTCCTTTCTTTTGTTATACATAGCAGCTTCGCGCTTTTGGTGTTGGTGTTGTGTCAGAGGCATCAGATAGATCCGCAAAAAGCTGGGAAATCGTGTAGAAGCCTGACCGCCCCGCGCAATCCATGAATGAACGTTCTAGCCGTTTGGGTGCACTTTTCCTGGTATGTTTGTCTTGTCATGTCATGGGGCCAACCTGCTCCTGCCTGGCGGCGAGTCTCAACCCTGATTTGCGAACCCAAGTTGTTATTCCTCAGGATACTCCCATTGGCGAGGAGGAGAATGCTACAGCGCCTTGTAACGTGAAAATCACGGGAGGCTTCTCGGGCCGGGCGTGTAACAATGATCAACAACCTCCAAGTTGTTCCACCACTCCCATTTTGCATCCAATTTGCGTCTGCCCAACTGCCTCCGACTTACACACTGGCAAGGTAGTTATGGTGAGGGTAGTGACGGAGTCTTCCAAGGGGGTCGGGACATCGACGTTTATTTGTTGTTTTTTTGCAAGTCTTGAGGGGGAAAGCCGGGCGGATTCACAATGATGTGGCACGCCAGCCAAGGACTCACATGTTTTCGAAGTAACTTTTAACCTTCTCCAGCCCGTAGCAACCACCAGGGACCTCGACTTGAGACTGACTTGAGCCTCCGACTCGCCGACCTCCGACCCTCGCCGAGCTCCTGCGAAACCCTACCTGTCCAGGTGCTGCGCACCCATGGCACTCCGCTCAGCTCGGAGAACGCCGGCTTCAAGTTGAGAGATCATTTGGAGCTAGGAGGGGCGAACCGTTCCTCTCATTCAGTTGGGTTGTTGGGCGAGTCCTGCCCCGCGGGCGAGGGAACGGGCGGTTTTGAGTGACCGCCCAAAGGAGTTTTCCATCATTTGTCCACAGGGAGGGAAGGGGGAAGAACACGATGGACAAGAACAACAGCTGGTCTCAAAAGGGCAGGCTGGTGGATGTAATGTAGGTAGACATTTGTTCTACTGTTACATGGGTAGTTTTCAACAGTTTTTTAGCCTTAGTGATGTCTTAGTCTTAGTAAAAACAAAAAGTGTGATATGGAGGAACAGACCAGTGAAGTATGTTTGGCGATTCTGTGGGCTCTCACGAGGCGAGGTGCCACATTGAACAGGGTAGAAGTTGAAGAGGGTGCTCTCTAAGTGTTGGTAGCAGTCCCATGTAATCCACTGCATGTACTTAGGAACTGCCCGGGCAGTTTGGGGAACCTCGGTGTGAATGACTCAGTCGTCCCAGTGCGTGCCAGTGCGTGAGTGCTGGTTCACAATCGTGGCCAGTCATGGTGAGCCCATGCTAGTGCCCGTGCTTTATCATGTTTTCATGTCTTGGGTTCTTTTGGAATCACGCTCTTGAACACACGTCTGCGGGGTATCTGGGATGCTTTTTCTATTCTCCGCTTCTTTAGTGCTCGAAGACGCCCTCCTTTGCATGTGGCTTTCGTATGCGAGATGGCATTGATGCAGAGGGGCTGGCACGCAGTACATGCCCTCTTGGAGATTCCAGCGGCTTCGCCATTGGCTTTGATACTGCTTGCGCTGGATTTGGTTCTAACCAGCTTAATCGTTTGGAAAGTTCCCTTTACAAATGTGGACTGGGAAGCTTATATGACAGAGGTGGAGTTCGTTCTTCGTGGTGAATTTGACTACCAGCAGATTTCCGGCCCCACAGGGCCCATCGCCTATCCAGCAGGCTTTTGCTGGCTCTACGGTAGCTTCCGCTGGTTAGCGCTGGAGTTGTCTCAGGTGCAGACCATATTTGCAGGGCTCTACCTAGCAACCATGCTGGTCCTCTTGAAGATCTACAGGCATGCAAAGGCACCGCTCTGGGTCTTCGGGTTGTGTGTTCTGCACCTTGGTTCAAAGGGCAGCCTTCAAGCGACATCATGACATCTTGAAGTTTCGGAGTGTGTGTGGGTGGGCATTCCAGCAGTTCTTAGGCTTGTGCCTCTTGTGGGGCTTGGGGCCCCCACAAAGGCTCTGTGGGACACATGTCACGGCCTTATGCAATTGATGGGCCCTTGACCAATTGGCATCGTCTGACGTAGATCTCGGCGTCGGAGATCACCTCCATAAGGTCCCTGCGTTGTCATTCGATCTTCGTGCTTCGTCTCTTCAACGATGCAGCTGCACAGTTCTTCTGCTACTTCGCACTGCTGCTTTTGCTTGAAGGTTGCCACAGGCCAGGCATGGTGGGGGGGAAGGCTGGAACACACCACACGATTCAGAGAGCACTGCATCTTGTTTTGACATGTTTTGACCTCGTGCGGCAGTGTCAACCTGGCAGTGCCCTTCTGAACTGCCTTGGATGCAAGAAACGACCAACTTTTTTTAAAGGGGAGCCTATCACGGAGTATCATGCCATCATATGCCATCCTTCACCTGGAGAATCGAGTCTGTCTTCAGGAACAAGCACCAAACTCTGTTTTCAGGACCTGTCGAACCATGTGAGGATTGGACCGGGTTCCGCTGGTGGGTCGGCCATGTGGACAGAGGTTTCCCGGGGCGACCGGGCTGACCCTGACCATCCCCTAAGAGGTTCCTCTTGCAGATTTTGGTCCGATTTTGTCCATCACTCATGATGATGTGAGTGGATGTGGGACTGTGCCAGACGCACTGGGGAAAGAACTTGGGGACCTGGTCGGACGTGGCGCGATGGATGTTCTCCTTTTGTGCGACCGGGAAGGTGAGATGGAAAAAGGGTGATAGAGTTGAAATAGTCTAGGAGAATTGCACCAAGATTCGTGAGGGCGGGTTGTAAATGATGAATGGTTCCATCCACCATGGCATGGAGTTCTGCTAGTTTTGTCCTCAAGCTGAAAAGTTGTATGGTTTGCTTTAGCAACAGATGGTGCTCAGGTCCTCATCTTTGATCTACTCGCTGTCAGTTAGCGTGAAGATGCAGCCACTGCTGGTTTGCCCAGTGGTTGGCCTTTACTTGGCACCTAGGCCCAACAGGCAAACTGTCCAGGACAAACTTATTTGTTCAGCATGGAGATTGATTGGTGGACGGTTACAACAAGATGTGGAACCTCCTGAGTGTTCTCTTGCAAGTGATCCTGTGTTGCCCTTACGTTCAGGCGAATTTGTACTCCAAAGGAATCAAGCAAGGTATAGACTTGGAGATTCCCAATGCCCAACCTAGGTCTTGCATGGCTGGAAGAAGGCCTTGAGTTGCATTGCGACCATGCTGGTGCTGCAGCTTTTCTTGGCCCTACCTTTCCTTCAGGCCAACCCTTGGGCATATCTCCGCTTGGCCTTCGGAGGCAGGAGATGTGAACGAGAACCCTGGTCCTTCGCTCCCCAACGTCTACCTGCCACACTCCTGCACCCCCATGAATTCCTTTATGGGATGCCTTTCCTCTCATGAAACTCCCTTATAGATCCTTATGGGAGCTAGGCTCTCGACTGAATGTTTGCCTGATATTGTGATCCCACTCCTCAGACCGGAGGCCCCGGCGATTTGCAGCACGCCTGGTCCGTGAACTGGCGCCACCCGAAACGAACTGGCGCTCGTGCCACCGGCGGAACTCGCTGGGGCTTGGGATGTGTTGAGGACCGAAGAAGCCAGACCTGAAGTTCACAAACCATGGACTTTCTTGATGATCGCATGCGAAAACATTTCCTTTTTTTTTTTGTGGGGGGGGGTTGAGATGGTTGAGACACAACATCCAGAGTGATGAGGCGGGGGTTCCACATTCCAGGAGGCTTCGGCTTCATGCTGTCTTTCTTGACCCGCTGATGTACTGGTAATTGTCACCTGACCTCCGCTGGACCTGCCGGTCAGCTTCGGCTCCCTGCGGTGCTTCGGTAGGCCCATCGTCACCGGAAAGACTCTTCAGTCCAGTCCAATGCCATGTAACACTGAGGCTTCTTGCCGGAGGTGCTCTTTACCAGTCGTGCGTTTGTCCTCTCACTGCTGCTGCTCCACATCCTTTTGCTCCTCTATTTCGCCCACTTCCGGTGGATTCCAGGTGGCTTCCTGGGGCGCAGCATTCGTCGCTGGCACGTGGAGCCGGTCGCCCGAGCTGGTGCTTTGGAGCCCAAACAGCTGGTGGCCATGTGGTTCACTTGCAACTTTATTGGCATCGCGTGCCTTCGCACCATGCACTTCCAGTATCTCAGACAGGAAGTCGGGATCGGAGGCGAATGGGGTGCAGATGCAGTGGTCGTGGCCCAGTAGTCGTGGTTTTATCAGGGTCCCTGGAGACAGTGGGTTTCGAAAAGGATCCTCGCGGACCAAGGCAAGGTTTGGCGGGACAGGTGTTCCAAGTGTTTTCATCGTTCTACGTACCGAAGAATATTACAGTGGATCCCTGAGCCGGTCCCGACTGCACCATGGGTCCTACCTCAATCGCACTCAATCACCTTAGTGATTGTTTTTCAATTGAACTTCTCGATCTTCTGCTGCAGGACATGGGGGGCCCCCCAAATGTTCTCCCCCCACAAGGCGTCTCAAACCTCAATGACTGTCTTCTGGTGGTGCGCCAACCTGACTCCTCGAATCTGCCCTCTAAGGTTCTTGGTTTGGTACTTCCACACCGTGCCTGGAGTTCGCGCTTTCAAGAGAGCTTTTGTTTTGCTTTTTAGGTGTACCTGTAGCGAAAACACACCGACCCCGAGTCGTTGAAAAGCTTGCAGACTTTCTAAATTGACTGTAATTCGTGATTCTACCCAACCTGCTATTGGGCCGAGAGGTGCCCTTCCTCGCCTGGTTCGCCCTGGGGGCGACCTCGCTGCAGCGGTGCCTGGGGGTGGTGGCCTTGACCGGCCTGGTAGAGCTGAGCTTCTTGATCACCACGCATGGCCAAGTGCGCGGACCGGACGGCCGCAGCTGGAACACCAAGGGCGTGCCCAGCTGGCAGGGAAGCCTCATCCTGCAGGCATGGGTGCAGCAGAGAGTGAAGGAACAGAGCCAGCAAAGCCCCGGGGTCATCCGCGGATGCTGGTGAAAGCAGGGTGAGCTTTGAGGTTTTGAGGTGCTTTGTGTGATACGTTTTGGGAGGTATCATGGAAGTATGATGGGTCCTGCTCTTTGGGATTGAAGTCTTTCCTTCCCAAGCACAAGCGGCTTCGGTTCTGATCAGGTACCGTATGCCGTATGCCCATGAATTGCTCCAAGCTATGTAAACTGATGTAAACTGGCAATTGTTCATTCAATTTTCCCTTGGTAGAGAAGGTCATGTTGAGATATGTTGACTTCCGGGAGTTGCAAAACCCCAATGGGTGAGGTGAAAGCTGGTGAGAGTCGGGTGACGTCGAACGAACTCGCGCGCAGGTCGCGCATGGCTTGCTCTTGGGCTTGCTCCTGTGGAGCCCGTTTTTGTGCCCGGGGAAAGAAAGACAGCGCAGGTCACGGAGCCGAGACTCAATGAGACTAGCTAAGACTTAGGGGGGTTCAGAAATACGAAAACAATCGAAAACAACAAATTAAGTATAGGATTTTTGAGATGACTGGTCTTATGTGGTCTTATTGTAGCCGGGCGGTGCTGGTATGTCACGGTCGGTCGGCTTTTTGGTGCGAAGAACGCGATGGGTTTGTTATGTTTCATTTGCATCATCTAAGCCGATGGTACTCGTACATGTACACTGCCCTCAGCGTTGCCAGGAGAGATGCTGGATCTCTTTGATTTCGAGTCCGGCGGGAAGGCCAGGCTAAGCCTCGCGCAGCGGAGCTCCGGGTGAAGCGTCCAGGCTCCGACCGGTCTCCCGGATGCGCCGAACTCGAGGTGAGTGGCCAGAAGTTTTTGTGCGCCCGGGGGGACGGGGGTCTTGGCTTTCACTGACCCCTACGCATTCCAAGGGTCTGCTGCTAGGCGATCCAAGGTTGCCTTCTAGACGTTTATACAATGAAGAATATCATGCACGTTTCAAGGATTTCATTCCTTTTTAATTGCTCGGCTTCCATGAGGTGATCATTTCATATCATCAAGGCTTCGCGCCCCCCTTCTCACACCGCCCCTCACACCGTCAAGCCTTATCCATGCATTTCCATGCCCAACCTGTCCCGCCTTGATCATCGATCCATGGGTCCCACCCCTCTCCTTGCTCGGACCAGCCGATCACGTACTTGGGCTTCCGAACCGATCGGCACGTTCTCAGGTGCGTTGCCCAGGTGGTCGACCTTTGGTCCGCTTCGCTTTCAACTTCAACAATCAAAAGGTTCGTTCTCGTTTGACAGGATGTGTTCACATCTGCAACCAAACACCCACCAATTGCTGTGTACTGGATGACGTACAGTATCTCCTGACACCTCTTTCCCTCTGTTTCCGGGTTTCGCCGACAATCGGAGATACCTATATCGCACCTCGCAGGTACTTCAAGAATGGCGCAGCGCTCCTGGAGCTGGCTCTCATCCAATGGGCCACGCACCAGGCGGTGAAGCGAGGCTTCCAGCCCTTCATTCCGCCAGACCTCGTGCGGGCGCGGGGGTGTCCACCGTCCGTGCGGAGCGAATGCGCGGAGCGAACGGGGGTGTCCACCGTCGGGTGCAGGGGGAGGGTTCGGAGGTCGGGACATGTTGGGGTTGGATAGATTTGGCAGGGCAGGTGATTCAGATCCACCTGGGTTCAGGCAATTGGTGTGGCATCCTGTACATCTTTTGATGGCTTTTGCATGCTTTGATTATTGGTCGAAGTAGGTTGAGACCTCCAGTCTTCTTTCGCCCCCCTGCTGAGAGTGAAGCGACTTCCCCAAGCCAGGCCAATCCGGACGGTGGAATAGCAGTAGCTAGCTAACAGTAGTGGCTATGGTGTAGCAGCCCCTGCCTAAGTGACTTCAAGCCGGAAGAAACTTGCGCAATCCTACCCAGTGGAATTCCGTTGCGACTTATATTCAAATATTCCAAACACTATATCACAATTGCTATATATATGTATTGTGGACCTAGGGATGGTACTGAAGCTCTTGGTGGCGAGTCTTGAGTGGTTCGATTGGCCTTCTCCGTCCAGGCTCCAGTGGTGGCGGGCTGCGGCTTTGCCCCCCGGGACGATGAAGCTACCCAGAGATTCGGCGGATTTGTCGGGGGATTTGCCAGGGCCAGCCGGGGGGGAAGTTGGAGAGCCAGCAGCTGACCGGTGTGTGACAAATGGTCTGTATAGGTTCCTGACAGAGAGAGAGAGAGAGAAAACACACGAGGCAGAGAGAGGCAGACAAGGAGACCATTGCCCATAGTTAGTTAAGGGGCTTGACTCCTTGATGATTCCGTGTTTTCAGTTTGTTTTGCTTTGTAGGGCTTGCAGGTGGTGAATCTGATGGGTCAATCGGTGTGAGGGAAGGATCAACCTGATCGCACTTTCGACCAGGTCCACTTCTATCCTCTCCCTTCTTCATTATGAACATCCTTTTGGCGTCCCGACTCCTGGGGTCTCCTGGGGTGTCCCGACTCCTGGGTTTGAAAGGTCGAAGACTCGCTCTGCGCAGAGCTGCCACCACCTGCCACCAGACCGGTGGAGCGACCGCCCCTCCAGACCGGTGGAGCGAGTCTCCTCCTAAGGATCTACGAGGTGAGTCGGCGCCTGAGAAGGGCCCCCAGCGCCGGCGAAGGGGGAACATGGCTGTGGCACCGGGCGGATCCTGGGTTGACCACCGAAAATGAACAGAATAGACTATTAAGGAGGTCAATCTACCCTGGTGAAAGGGGATCTGGGTTCTGATCCACAGCCATGTGAACTACTTGCAAGTCTCCTTCAGTTCCGTTTGGTGTCAAAGCTCTCGCGCAGAGTTGGTGGCGCCACCAACGGGTCGACACATTGCAGGGTCGACCTGCGCAAGAAACCTCGCTGCGCAAGCAGATGCGAACGCAGCTTGTGTAGAGAGCAATTGGCAGGTGATTCAGATCTTTGTCTAGCTGGAACAGCGGAGATTCCTATGGCAGGCAGATCTTGCAGATCACAATCACAGCGCAAGTTGTCTCTGAGTGTTGCCAAGTCTTGAACATGTATTGTTCATTCTGCTGATGTCTCATGTTGAGAGAGGTCAACCATGGTCAACCTGCAAATCCCGATTGATATCGATTGATCAACACTATTGATTGGAGCGCCCTGCCCTGTGCTTGGGGCTCCCTCATTTTCATCTGCAGGAACTTCCATCATGCGAGTCAATGGTGGGAGTATTCATGCTGTTGCATTATGAGAACATGATAGAACTTGTATAACTGAGTGACTATGATGTATGACTTATCATTGCCTCTTTCTTGGCCATGTATGCATGATGTTCCATTTCATTCCCGTGCCCCTGAAGCCTCTGACTGCCAGCTGCCAGGCATGTTCCTGAACGAGACGCTGATCGCTTCGAAGGCGCGACACCGACACCTCCGGTGCTCCGCGACCCGCGCGGGTGTCGTCGCTCTCCAGGAGCTCCCGAAGCGACTGGTGGCTTTCAGTCACGCCTTCCGGACCGAGGAGAGCCGTGGAGAGCCGTGGGCCGTTGGGGAGAAGGAAGGCAACGAGAGTTCTCTGGTCTACGGGTTGGGTGTTGGGTGTTCTAAACAAGGTCCTATGCTATGAGGGGAGGAGGCGTATATTATATATATTCATATATCATTTAGCAGCTATATACTCTGAGTAAACAAAAGCTCGTGCTGTTGGAAGAAGAACTGTTGCTCCGACTGTGGCACAATTTGCTCCAACATGCTCCAACGTATTTTCTCAGGAAGAGCTTGGGCTGTATATTATATACACACATTACTTTAAAAATATATATATATATATATATGTGCGTGTCAAAATGAGACAATCGCCCATACACCATCAAGAACCGTTTTGGCTGCATGGTTGTTCCTTTTTGTGCACGCCAGTGCACGCTCTCTCCAACCAAGACCGATCTCTCTCAACCAGGCAGGATCCTCAGGGTCCGAGAACCGCGGCATTTATCGGCTGCACCAATTCAGCAAGGCCGGAGGAAGTGCTGCGCGAGGTGTCGCGCGTGTGGAGAATTGCTCTTGCGTGTGTCGCCAAAGGAGAGTCAACCACTGCGAGATTTGAACATTTCACCCCTCCCTGTTCCAGTTCTCCAGTTTCGGGCTCCTGAGCTGCTCCATAAGAAAGCCTCCCGGCCCAAAAAACCTCTCTGGTTAGAGTTGCCCCGACTTCGATCGCGGCTCGATCCGATCGGTGCGCGCGCAAGGTGGAGCTCTTTGCCGTGACCCGCAGCGAGGTCGAGGAGTCCGGAGGCCTGGACGGAGTCCGAAAGAAAGACTGACGGCGTGCTTTCCCTCCCTCCCATGGAAGCTGACAAGGACCCCCTTGTGGAACATGGTCTTCCTTTCGGGTTTTCCAGTAAGGAATGAGGGAATGAGCATGCAGCATGACGGGTGCATAGATTCCGTTGGTTTCATTCCATTCCCCTCCGATCTTCTAAGCACCAGTCAGAAGAATCCCGCTGTTTTGGCCCACGGGCGCAACGCCTAAGGTCCAACAAGATGTTGGAAGAGATCCGAGCTTTGGAGGAGTGGCCATGGGCTTGCCAGAGTAGAGCGCGGTAGAGGGGAGACTCAAAGATCCCAAAACGGAGATAGACTCCCAGATCCAAACCCTGAAATCATCAGTGGACGTTGACAACCACCCTGTTTGCAGAGTAAAGCGGTCATTGAAGGGGCCACTTCCATGGTCATTTCGGGGAGTGTTAGACCTCCGTGACAAGACACGTCAGTTCTCAGCCTCCGGATGTAGCAAGCTCGGGGCCTTTGCAAGTATAATTAATTGTCAGATGTGTGAAAGACGGACTGCTGCTTCAGCATTTGCCAAGGACTGTTTTTTCCCCATAATGGACGGAAGTGAGGGCATCGAAGGAACGCGATCAGATAGCGCCCAAGTCTTGACCATAGACCATGCCAGCTAGAGATTGGAGGTCGCTCCACTACAATGCTTCATGATAGATGCGATGGAGTCATTCACTGTATTGCTTTAAGGGAACTTCTGGCTGCAACCCCCCCGGGTTTCCCGTTGATTCCCCCCCACAGAAACAATGGGAGTCAACCCCTGGCACCCGCCGGCGATACATCGACGCCATGTCGATCTGGGTCGGATGAGGATCGCCCGTGATCGGTTGGAAGCTGGCCACCCCCCAGCTGTGATGCTGAAACCATGCCCTGCATCACTGAACATCAAAAGATATAGCTGTGGCTCAAAACTTGGGCAAAGTGGTTGACCACCGAACATGAACAAAATAGACGACCTTGGAGGTCAACCTACCTATCAAAAGGATCAAAAGGAAGTAGAATGCATTTGCAATTGTATATGTTATACATTACACTATTCATGTTACATCGTTCGTTTGGATCGATTTCAGTGTCCCTCTTAGGCTTTCACCAGACATTCATCGAATGTCCACGCGGGGCAAGACCGCTCACCGGCCAGACGGCGTTGACCTCGGCCAGGAGGAGCTCTTTACTGAGCTGGGCCTTTGCTTCCGAGTGCTGGACATGCAGCGAGCTCAGAGATGGACCTACAGGTTGTGGCGCATCGGTCAGAACCACATCCCTTTGCCCTGGAGGGTCAAAACGGAAAGAGTTTCCATATGTTCAATGGACAAAGGCTCGATCTGGTCAATGTCAACATTGACGCCAATGACAGTTCAGTTCTCATTATATAAGACATCTATCTCGACATTGACGAGGATCACGCATCTTTCCATTGAAATTCTTTCGGTAGGAAATGACCCTTTGGCACGCGTACAGTTCACCACCCCAACTCCAAGGTATGTGGATCCACTCACATCAGGATCATTTTGCGTATGCTCATTGGCATTGCAATTGGACACTTCACGTATTTCCACGTGGTGCCATAGAGCCTGTGGGGAAGAGTGCTGAGACTCTTGACTCTAGACTCTAATCTACTGGTCAGCAGGACGCAGCAAAGATCATGCAAAATCGAACGTTGACCGGAAGTGTGCTTCGAACCGTGGCATCCAGTGTCCATCCCTCGGAGCAGTCCCGGGGACTGGGACAACACCGATGCCGTCCGCTCGGACTTCGTGCAACTTGGCAAGCTTGTTGGAGGCCATCGCACTTCGGTTGGAGGCCATGTTGCACCTACGTCGTCAATGAATCACCGCTTTGAAGAGAAGAGGACCGCTGCGCAGTCCGCTGCGCTCCTTGACGGGCGCATGCCGCGAAGAGGGGCAGTACACCTGCTGGCCCCAAAAAGCCATGCCATGTGCCAGAGGAGTAAGAACCGCCTGGCTGAGGAGAGTCTAGCAACAAAGGAGTTTGGAGCACAGTTCAGCATGACTGAAATTGACAGGACATTTTGGATATGTCTGACCGGACTGCACGCAGCAAGCGTTGAGGGCAGGTGTCAGAACGCTCCATCGATGGACGCCACAAACTGACTGGTGCCTAGTTAAGGAATGGGAGAATGAGCTTTCAATAGAGATTCGAGATTCCTTACAAATCCTTACAATCCATATTCATTCCCTTCGTTCAGCTCGGTCGTACCGGTCCAGTTCCGCCCCAGCGACCCAGGCCCACGGAGGAGCTGGGGGCGCCAGCCTATCGGAAGTACGACATGGAGGAGAAGGGGTGGAAGGGGGCGGCGAAAAAACACGTGAGGGGTGGACTTGGGAGTTCGACATGAACATCTATTTGAACAACTCCCTTGGGGGTGGGTCAAAGCCATTTTTATATGTGCATGAAGGTTTTTTTAGTATGGCACGACCTGAGAGTCGACCATACCGTCGCCGCATTGACCGTCCGACGCGAGAAGTATGTATGTATATATACTGTATATATAAATATACATGCCTGGAACCTGAATGACCTCTACTTTGGACCACCAACAAACAACCCAACATATGGTTTCCCATCAAAACAGAGTGGTATTTATATTAAGCAATTGCAAACAGAAAAGGGTCACCTTTTGAGATTAGAAGGTTTGGTTATCAAAATGCTCCTGGTTGTGGCCACGTAGTCTCTTCGTGAGACCATTGGCCACGGTGCTTCGGGCTTCAGCCAATCGGTTACATGCTCAGACCTTCAAGGAAACTGACCCAGTCACTGTGTTTTTCTCGTGTTGGTTTAGTGGCAGAAAGGCTTGGTCTACAATGACTCACGCGAATCAGATTGGCTGGGGAAGACACCCAAGAACCAGTACCCGTTTCTCCAGCGGATCACACCACGAAGGAAGACGCAACGATCCCACCGAATTCACGAAGAAAATCCTTTAGGAAGCGCCACGAGGATGAATTCAATTCTTGTACAACTGCAGCCCCATCGCAGAAACCGAAGACAGTCAACGTGACAAGACATACCCAACACAGAACGCACAGATGCCAACAGAGCTGAGATGCCGGGCTCCGGGCTTTGGTCAACAAGTTACATTGGCATTTACCGCAACATTAATTGTGATGCATTATGAAGAAACGTGGGAAGGAGTGCTTCTTCTCCGGCTGCTTAGCTGAATGCTTGCCGAATGGCCAGGCCAGGCCAGCATTAGGCAAGCCATGCAGATGCCCAACGGCTGCGGGCAGCGCCGTCGCCCTCTCTCGGGGCTTGGATCCGGTCGGTCGGCGATGGCAGCTCTGGCAGGGTTGAGTTTCTCAGCTTGCCATAGCTTGATATAGCTTGCCCAGGTGGCAAACACAAGGGATCAGTGAACAGGTTGCGAGCCGGGCCTGCTTGTCGCAGTTCAAGGAGCAGGGGAGTCATTGAAGTCTCCAAAAGCAAGCGTTTGCTTTGCGCCAGTTCATGTCGCAATCCTTGGCTATCATCTCACAGCCCTTGCCTGCGTCCACTGGTTGGTCTTGAAGCCATTTCATGTAGTTGATTGCCCAGGGCATCTCTGGGATTTGACGTGCTGTGTTCACCCTAAAACGGTGGGGACCGTTGCAGGGCTAATTTGCATGAGGGAATCACTCCACATCCAAACAAGCGATATCCTGTTGATGTCTGTGTGCACAGGTTGTCCAGCTTTATGCTGTGACAGACAGGTGTGTTTGATCAGGATTATCCATCCCAAGTGATGGTCGACCGGGGGATTTCCAGACTACCCTACCCACTCAGGGAGGCTCCCTGACTGGTAGCAGTCTGATGCCAGTGTCGCCAAAAGCCGGTGGGAGTTGGGAGCAGGGAGTGGTTCGCTGAGTCGCTGGGACGCTGGGAGCGTGGACACACCTGCAACGCATCTCTCAAGAACACATGAACACAAATGACACCAAGTGTCAACTTGGAATGAACCCCAGGAGTCACATGACTTAGAGAAACAGTAGATATACGATGATATACTTAATTGTACTTGTTATTATTGCATATGATTGCTTATTTCTAATGCACCTATATTTCCTTGGTTTCAGCATTAACCCTGAAAATATGGGACTTCCCCCGACCGCCAGGCCTGGATGCCGGGCCTGGAGAAGTGGGGTGAGATCTCCTCCTGCTCCAGCTGCACCGACTTCCAGGCAAAGGGCGGCGAGCGGAAACGGAAGGTGTGTGCATGTGCGAAAACGACGTGTGCATGTGTGGCAGACGGTGCACAACCTATGACTGAGTATGAATTGCTAAGAATCTTTTGCAGGTGCGGAGAATATGCATGGATTCAAAAGGCTTATTAAATAATGCCTATCATATTAAAAATACGTATAATATACATTTGCAGAGCCTAGAGAAAGACCCAAGGCCAAAAATGGAGGCCCTGTAGATGCCAGGCGTTGATTCCGGACATGATTGGACAATAGCACATACTATATAGCCATATTGGATAAAACTCATTGGTTGGATCGACTGATGCAGTAGTTTGTGGCAAGACAATACCCGACTCGGTTGCATATGGTTTGATAAGGACAGTGGTTGGTTGGCAGCCTTGGCTAGGGCAGCTGAGCGAACCGTTTCCTTCCACGGGCCCACGTGCATCATGGCTAGACAGGTTTTGTTGGTCACGTGCTCGGTTGAGCAGGAGTCCGTGAAACCACAACAAGCCATGCCCACAAAAAGCCGGCTGGCGCAGACCCGGAAACGACCCAAGACACCAGCGTTCCGGTTGGAAACACGGATGAACGAGGATGGCGAAACGCGTGGGGCCAGGCCAGACGTCTCAATATCCGTCACAAGGAGGAGTACAACCAGAAGGCCTCGCCCCCGGAGAAGCACTCGGGTGATTTGGCAAAACTGGCACATTGGGGACTTGAGATCAACATGGATGAAGGTCGTTGGAAGATCTCGTTTGGGTTGTGGAAGATGTTGGAGGACCGTTTCAGCCCTCGATTTGGATCGGTGGGGCCGCCCAGAAAGGCTCAAGACTGTTAGCCTGGACCGACCACCATGTGGTGACACAAGCAGAAGACACATCGAAGACACATACAATGAAAGTTGGTTGATTGATGTGTGACATCATGACACATGAATTCACATGAACAGTGAACATCCAAGGCTGCAAAAAGAAAACATCGAAAACGTACCGTACATAACGGTACGGTACATAACGTGCAGAAACAGAATTCGCCTGCGTCCTTCGGACCGGTGCGTGCTCGAAACCCTTCCAGGGGAACCTCCAGTTCGCCCACACGCTGAACGGCACCGCCTGCGCGGTGCCTCGGATGATCATCTCCATCTTGGAAACCTTCCAGAACGAGGCCCGCGGTACCGGGACCCGGATCCGGATCCGAAGGCACGGAGGAAGACGGAAGAGAAAGAGGAAGGACTGGATCGATGAGGATTCAGAATGCCCGCTCTTTTGGGAAGTCAAATCCAAATCCATGATGTTGCATTATATTTAGGGCCTTTAGGGCTTTCAGTCAGCCATTGAAATGCATTAGCTTCATCTCGCAGTTGGCACCTCCAATGGCCAATCCGCAGGATGGGTCCGTGAGCATTCCAGAGGTACTTCAGCCATACATGATGGGCATGAAGGCGGGTCTCAGCAGTTGAGGGTCGGACACTCTGCAAGGGTCGGAATCCTCTAGCAAAAAAGAGTAAAAAAGGACAGCGACAGATGATAGATTCCTGAATCTTTAGGACAGTGATTTCTACCTTGGCTTTTTGTGCAGTTGCTGAGCAAGAACAGCTTTCTAAATGACTGAATCTGACTGAGGTCAGCAGGTTAACAACTCCATCCAACTTCCTGTGTGCCACCCAAGCTGAATGCTCCGACCGTCGACCCCCCCACGCAATTTCCAGGTGCTTGAGCCTAAAGCGCACTGACCAGCGCAGTCCCGATGGTTTTCTTAAAGAGCAGCGGCTTTGATCATGCCATGTAAGGCTGAACGTGCTTGAGAGAACATGAGGAAAGAGGAGGTTCCATTCTTTTCATTTCTTGACCTCAGCGATGCTGAAAGTATATATCCCTCCTTTCGGTAGCTGTTGCAGGTGCCAACTTGTTTGGCCGAGATGTGATTGGATGGGGGCTCGCAAGTCTTTGTCCTAGTTCGGGTTTACATTCTGAATCCATTCTTTTGAATGGTCCAGCATTTTGACCATCAGATGGCCCTGACATGACCCAATCTTCGGTTCATTATGAGGGCGTGAGTATTCTAGTTTTACTGTAAAGGGGACCTTTGATCATATAATAAACAGGGGGTGTCACTTTTTGGAAAATAGGGTCACCCTAAATAAGGTTTATCCATGTTTATCCCAGATTCTAAGACAGGAGTTTAATAAGGAAATGAAAGGAATCTTTATTAACATGAAAAGTGAATGAGCATTTAATTGAATTGGAATTAAATTAGAATGTCTAACTTTAATTAGGGGGCTTTATTAACCAGGGCGAGAAGTTGTGTATATAACTCTATTTGGGGGGTTATTAATCATAGGTCAACGTTAAGTCTTTTTTGGGGCCTGCTGTTCGACTTGGAGAGACAGCAAAATCTATGTGCTGACAATTTTCGGCATGATCGCGGCCAATTTTCAATGTGGCCAAAGCTTCAGCCACCGCACGAGGTTTCTTCACTTTAGCAGCGCAACAACCATCAATCAATTGAACTGACTGAGAGTCGTAGTGAAGCATTAATTAGGTTTTGAGTAGAGACCCAGCATTACAAAAGTCAGGTCGGTTCAGAGATTGTGCCTACTTGGGCCCCGGAGTAATCTGGCATGCTTTGGGAGATTTCCTTCTCCTGAAGAGAGTTGTCCTTGACACTCAGTGGACTTGCCTTTTTGCAACAATACACCTGCTAGATCCAAAATTGATTTGAGACACCTATCACCTCCCTCAGGACGCGCAAGAACGCACGGGACAAAAGAGAGGCGTGCCTTATGATGTGTGGGGGGAAGAAGGGCACCCAAAAATGTTAAAAACGTTACATCAAAGAAGTTTTCTAAACTCACAGAAGCCACAGAGCTGTTCAGCGCGGAGTTTCACCCAAACGTGGCAATCAGGCTTTGTGCACGCAAGCGCCGTTGTCGTTTTGACTTTTGCCAGTGTGAAGTGACAAGAGGGAAACTAGTTTTGGATGGAAAATCGCGGGAAAATCTGGAGACAATTTTTGGAATACAGTTCTTCTTTCTGGTGTTCTTATCCTTTTGGACTGTGTGTGCTTATCCTAAATTGAAGCAACATCAGAAACTACGATAGGGAAAGACTGACTCCGTTCCCGCAAACAAAAATTGGCTCCGGTTTTGGGCAATAAATTGGTTCGGTTTTTTGAGGAACATCAGCTACGGATTTTTGGGGAAATCCGTCACCGATTTTGGGGAAACCCGTCAGGGATTTTGAGGAAATCTGTCACAGATTTTTGGGAAATCCATCACCGATTTTGGGAAATCCGTCACCGACTTTGGGGAAATCCGTCACCGACTTTGGGGAAATCTGTCACCGACTTTGGGGAAATCTGTCACTGGCTTTGGGGAAACCAGCCGCCGACTTCAGGAGGCTCCGTCTTCAGGAATAAAAATCGTTTTTGGGAAAAACTTTTGGGAAACACCGCGCCCGGTTTGCGGAGCAATGAGGCCTTTGGTGATGGAGCCCTGTAGCGGCTTCTACTGGGATCCTGTGCTGGTCCTAGACTTCAAAGGCGCGCGCGGACTGGCGTGGATGGGAGACGGAGATAGGAGATCGGACGTGTGTTAATTGGAGTTTATATTGGCTTGTTTGGGAACGGTTTTTCTTTGTTTGGGGGGGGCGAATTTCCGGGTACTGAGTCTTTAAGATGTTTATGGGGAACAATTGAAAAGCATGTTCACATCTACTTCTGCCTTGATTTGTTGCATTTGGCTTTGCCGCTGCCACTCATCATGGTATATAGGAGGATGAAGTCTCAATTGCTAACCGAGAAAGATGGAGAAACACAGCAACGCAAAAGACAAACACTTGGCACGTCTCGGAAAGGCGGGTTCTTGCGGAACGCGGAACGCAGGTATGTATCCATCCTTGATCGTGCGAGCCTATGCGAGCCTCAGGACTTGCGGATCCATGTCATGTGGCATCTGCGGCAAGAGGATGCAATACAGCAGGACATTCCCTCTAAAGACTAGATATCTCTAGATCATTGGGTAAGACCATGAGAACGACATGGCTGCTGCCGCATGCCATCGGAGGATGCGGAGGTTCGCATACGCCCTGCCTAGGAGAGGGGGACCCAACCGCTCAGGTGGCCCACAACTTGTCCTTTGACACCTGCTTGGGCCATTCAAGGTGGGATGTAAGGGCCTGTAAGGGTATGAATAAACATGTCAGTATGGATATATATTAGGCATGAAAGCTGGGGAAGCGGAAGGAGTGTAGAATCGTTAAAGACCAACCGCTTGCCGTCCCCAAGTGTCCCCCAAAGCTGGCTTCAGCTACGTGGCAGGCGCACAGGGGAAGGGCCCAGCTGTCAGATGGGCGCCACACAGCAGCAAGTGATTTGGCCGATCGACGCTCCTGCCTGGCCATTTGCCTCGGGTCTTGGGAAGATATATTGTGCATGTCAATGACCATGGTTTTCGCCGTGGCTTGTTTTCTAAATGTGTCTTCAAGGGTGTTTTTTCTAATGGCCCAATCGCCTGTGAAGCATCCACCTAAACACAAGACGGGAGTCTTGATTCTTGAATTGCTTGGAACAACACTCATGAGCCACCTTACTGTACCTTACCATGAAACAACACCATTTATTCTCACATCAACCTGCGCGAATGGAATCCGGACATCAACCTGACTCGGGGCTAGCTGTTGTCGAACGTGCCAAACAAGGTCCATTTATAGGCTTTTTGTTTGATAATATGTCCTCCGACATTATTATAAAGGAGAATGTATTATTAATGTATAACAAATGAGCACGAAAAGCAATCAACGCATCGTGTTGGAGGACGTGTTATTATAAAATACCATCAAGAAGGACATATGATAAGAAAGAGCACGTATTATCATGTATGATCATAATATCGTGTTGGAGGACATGTTATCATGAAGAAGGCCTTGAAAACGCCTCACGCGCAGCGCCCAGCGGAGCGAACGATTCACCAGTGAGGTGCTCAACGGACCTTGGGTCCTCAACGGCTCAAGCCTTGCAGCTGGGGAGACCCAACGTACGAACGAGACTCCGCCGGTCTCCGGGCGGAGTGGACGGCGAAAGGGTGACTGGCGAGGAGAGATTCTGAGTGATGTTATAGGGGGCTATTTTTTTGGGGAGGGCGGAAAGCCGCCGGGGTTTGTATCACATTATACGCCCACAGATTACGTTTTTACTAAAAAGAGAAGATGAAAGAGGATGAAAGTAATAAGATGAAAGAGGTTGAAAAGTCAATTCCACAATTGTTTATTCAAACTCAAAAGGGGATGAATGTGGTGGTGGAATTGACTTGGCCAATTCCATGCTTGGGGACGCCAATGCGTAGCGCTAAGCAAGCGCGCAAGCGGACAGGCTGACCGCCCAATGGCCCCGGCGAGTTGCACAGCGGGCCCCCCATGATGTGCCATGAAGAGGTTTGTCAATGCACATGGTTTTTGTTTCAAAATACTGCAATACTGAGTACTACTGTAGTCTAAGTTAATCAAGTGTTGGAGGGTGGGACTGGGACCTTATATAGATTGTTCTTGTCCACTGCGATCTCGGCGACGTGACACATGCTGCCACTAGCACGTTGGAGTGTCCACCACATCCTTCGGGCTAACGATTCATGTTTTCCATCTCTCATGTTGGCCTTTTGGTGGTGGTTGAGGCTATGTGGCCTCCACAAGGCTTCACTGAATCTACATTTTGTTCTATGTTGATGCATGTTGATGCAATGTTCATGCTTGGAAAGGGACAAGTGGCAACCCGCATTCAGTTGTGCTCAGCTAATCATGTGGCGTTTGTTTAGCCTGGCATGGGGAAGGAGGCCCTTTTCCAACCCGGGGGGGTTGCTTTGTCGTCGGGCAACGGTTCGCGCAAATCCGCTGGGACCCTCCAACGCTTAGCACACTTTGACAATGGGTTTTCTGTTAGCTCAGTTCCACGAGAAATGGCGAGGGAACGGAAAGGCGAGAAGGTCAGCTCACTTGAAGTGTTGAAAACTTTGTTTGTGCACATCTGCGGTAAGTCAGGCGGCTCACGAGCGGCAGAACGCTGCGGAGGGAAACCTGTTTAGGGAAATAACGTGAAGAACCACCATGAAAACAAGGAACAGCGGGGAACAGTAGAGTGTTGTCACTTGCAGGTACACAGGGCTGATCAGGCCCTGCTTCCCACTCTCGCCCACAGCTTCATTGCGTGTGGTAGGGCGAGTGCCACACGCCTCTGCAGACTGAAAGTGTTGAAGCTCCTAGAAACGGAGGGTGACACACACAGGAAGCCGAGAATCGGCGCGCGAGCGCGAGTGCAGTCGAAGGCGTATCTTGAGGTCATGATGCCGGTCTAAGAGCCATCCGCGGAGAATTCGAAAGCATGTCTGAGCTGTGGCAATTCGCCGTTTGACCGTACCAGACTTCCAGGCACGGTAGCTGATGACTGTACTAAATACGACGCCTTTCCCACAAGCGGCACGGTCAGGTTTGCATCAAGCAAAAGCAGGATGGGGCCTGTTTTAGACCAACTGGTCCATCGTCTGAGACCGAATTCAGCGATTTGCAACCAACCTCATGAGGGCCACACTCTTTTGGTGGAACTGCTGCTGGTCGTTGATGAGCTGGTGCTTTCCAAGCGTTGCGAACCCGACGCATGGATGGAAGGTTGGGGTCAACTGCGGGTGGAGGAGTAGGGTTAGGAAGTGGACGGATCGCGGTGGGTCGCCGGTGCGTTCGTTGTGAG